GTGCTTCATTTAATTAGTGTCAACAGTTCTAACAGAAAAGGATCCCAAGTCTTCTACGACTCACATTAGTCTGCCAGAGAATCATTTCAATGACTCATTAAACTGTAGACATTTTAAAATAGAAAACTGTTCAGGGATGGAGGACAGGATTTGGTTTGTATTTAGTGAAATATCCAGAGCTGTGTGACTAGATGAGGTTATCATGAAGCTTTCCTCACAGAGCGGACAGTTGTTCCTTCTGCTCCACAGGAATATGATTGATCTGAAAATGTGTCGTTGATCAGTGTTTCCTCCTCTCATCCAGATGGACAAAAATAAACTTTATTTATCTGACAACAAAGAAGAAGAAAGAACCAGAATTCAGGACAAATATCAGGTATGAAGCACCTGACTGTGACTCTTACAGGTAAAAATGAGTCAGAGCCAAATAAAGAAATCCACAGATTGGATCTAAGCTACAATCAAGCAGCAAAAACTACCCGAAAAGAGACAATTTAAGAGCAAATGAAATCCATCTACAGACCAAGAGTTTGTAGAAAGGATTCCTGGGTAGAAGAAGGAACCCAGAGTGACAGACGGGATGTTTTCTGCTGAATTGATTGGAAACGCAGTGGATTTAACCAACAGGATGAATCGTTATGAGTTTCTGCCTTTATGAAGAACAAGGTCACAGGGACCCCCCCCCATCCCCCAAGCACACACAAACACGTGATGTCACTATGTCCTTGTGGGGACTTTCCACTGACACCCATTCATTTCTATGGTCTAACCCAGACCCTAAACCTAAACTCAGTCCTGAACCTCACCCTGAGAAGAGACCTTCTCCCCATGGGGGCCAGTCGTTGGTCCCCACAAGTAGCTATAAGTCCCCAAACCGAGCCTGTTTCTGGGAAAAGGTCCCCACAAGGGAACAAATCCATGGGCACAGTGTTTGAATTCCACCAGCTGTTACCAAACTCTACAGAGACGATCAATAAAGCCAGGCACCCTGCAGTCATGTAGACTGACTGTCACTGCTCTTAGTCCGTCACATCTAAACCTCATCAGCTTTTCTTTTAGAACAAATCTGCAACAGTCCAACACCGTTAAATGTTTCCGTCTTTAGTTTACTTGTTTTTATTGAAGTCCACAGAAAACGTAGAAATAAGTGTGATCAACGTTTGTTCTGGTTCAGATGGAAAGAAAGGGAAGAAAGCTTAAAGATGAAAGGAACACTCACTGGCATCAATCTAAGGACCACCAGAGCATTCTAGGTCCAGTAGACCACCAGAGCATCCTAGGTCCTGAGGCTCCAGTAGACCACCAGAGCATCCTAGGTCCTGAGGCTCCAGTAGACCTCCAGAGCATTCTAGGTCCAGTAGACCACCAGAGCATCCTAGGTCCTGAGGCTCCAGTAGACCACCAGAGCATTCTAGGTCCTGAGGCTCCAGTAGACCACCAGAGCATTCTAGGTCCTGAGGCTCCAGTAGACCACCAGAGCATTCTAGGTCCTGAGGCTCCAGTAGACCACCAGAGCATTCTAGGTCCAGTAGACCACCAGAGCATTCTAGGTCCAGTAGACCACCAGAGCATTCTAGGTCCTGAGGCTCCAGTAGACCACCAGAGCATTCTAGGTCCAGTAGACCACCAGAGCATTCTAGGTCCAGTAGACCACCAGAGCATTCTAGGTCCTGAGGCTCCAGTAGACCACCAGAGCATTCTAGGTCCTGAGGCTCCAGTAGACCACCAGAGCATTCTAGGTCCTGAGGCTCCAGTAGACCACCAGAGCATTCTAGGTCCAGTAGACCACCAGAGCATTCTAGGTCCAGTAGACCACCAGAGCATTCTAGGTCCTGAGGCTCCAGTAGACCACCAGAGCATTCTAGGTCCAGTAGACCACCAGAGCATTCTAGGTCCAGTAGACCACCAGAGCATTCTAGGTCCTGAGGCTCCAGTAGACCACCAGAGCATTCTAGGTCCTGAGGCTCCAGTAGACCACCAGAGCATTCTAGGTCCTGAGGCTCAATAGACCACCAGAGCATTCTAGGTCCTGAGGCTCCAGTAGACCACCAGAGCATTCTAGGTCCAGTAGACCACCAGAGCATTCTAGGTCCTGAGGCTCCAGTAGACCACCAGAGCGTTCTAGGTCCAGTAGACCACCAGAGCATTCTAGGTCCTGAGGCTCCAGTAGACCACCAGAGCATTCTAGGTCCTGAGGCTCCAGTAGACCACCAGAGCATTCTAGGTCCAGTAGACCACCAGAGCATTCTAGGTCCAGTAGACCACCAGAGCATTCTAGGTCCTGAGGCTCCAGTAGACCACCAGAGCATTCTAGGTCCAGTAGACCACCAGAGCATTCTAGGTCCTGAGGCTCCAGTAGACCACCAGAGCATTCTAGGTCCTGAGGCTCCAGTAGACCACCAGAGCATTCTAGGTCCTGAGGCTCCAGTAGACCACCAGAGCATTCTAGGTCCTGAGGCTCCAGTAGACCACCATGACGTCTCTACTAATTTTAGACCATGGAACAAACCAAGCCTAAAGAAGGTCCTAAGACTCCAGTCTGTACGAATGTTAGATAACTGGTCAGAACCAGGACTGACTGGGCCTTTGGCCTTTTCACAGTTTTACTTGAACTACAAAGAATCTGTTTAGCTTCAGCTGTACTGAGGAAGGCTAACAGGCTAACAGGCTAACAGGCTAACAGGGCGGGTGGATTATTTCATAAAATCAATATCAGTGAACTATTTCCCTGCTTGTTGTTCTGTAGCCCACAGAAGGAAAACTTCCCTTCCTTTGTTCAAGAACTGCCTTCCATATAAAAAGCACTGATGTTGATCTAACAGGCCGGTCATATATGACGCCATACGGGGCGACGGTGGCGTTGGATGTAGGAGTTTGCCCTGAAATCGAAGGGTTGATGGTTCAAGCCCTGACTCCGACATTCACTGTCGTTGTGTCCTTGGGCAAGACACTTCACCTGCATTGTCTACTGATGGTGGTCAGAGGGTGGCGCCAGTGTACGGCAGCCCCGCTTCTGTCAGTGTAGCTGTGGCTACAATGTAGCTTGCCCCCATCAGTGTGTCAGTGAATGGGTGAATGAATGTAGTGTAAAGCGCTTTGGTCAAGTCTCCTGGCTTGAATAAAGGCGCTATATAAGTACAGGACATTTACCATTTGACATGTTTAACAAGAGGTCCAGATTATCTGCCTCCTTCATCCCAAGTTTTTCTCTACATGGATCTTTCTCTTTCCTCCCTTTAAATCATTGGTTCTTTATTCCTAATGTTGGGAGCAGATTGCTGCCAGATTAAAGCCTCAGCGATGACATCAGCGCTCCGCTTCCTCGCTGGTTTAATAATGATTTTCTGACTGAAGGTCAAATCTGGCATCTACTAAACAAACGCATCACAGAAACCAGCCTGCTGGCTGTTTGGACGGCGCTCTGCTTTAATCATTTGATGCTGTCCTCATCCCACACCTGAACACACGCAGCTTGCTCTATAGATATAGAGATATAGATATACTACAATCAGACCATGACTTAAAGCTACCTTCAGCAAGAATTTCTGTCTTTCAATGTAAAAATTACAATATTGGAAAAAGAGCAGATAGACTTAGAGAACTTTTATTGTCCAAAATGTCTACGTCATTTCATGTTGTTTAACCAGAGTGTATAAAAAATAACATTTAATTTAGGAAAAAGCTTTCAGAATATTTCCTTTCCATAAAGTGCAGCAGTGATCAAATGTAAACAGAGAAGAAATTAGTACAGAATGATAATTTTCTATGAGGAAATCAATTGTTTAACAAATCAAACTTCAGTGTTTCTGCTAGTTACTGATATCATCAAAACACGAATAACTGGGAGAGATTTGTTTGATCTATTAAGCCAACTATAAGTAAATTTAACCTTCATCCATCATAAATAGCTTGGGGGGGGGGGGGACTGTAGGTCTGACCCGTCCTGAAGCGGTCTCCTAGAAGGGACAGAGCAGCCTGGACTTCTAGAGGAAGCTTAGGTCCTTCAGATCTTAGATCTTATCAGTCTGCTGTGGAGAGTCTGATCTCTGTCTCCATCCTCATCATCATCATCATCATCATCATCATCATCATCATCATCATCATCATCATCATCATCCTCATCATCATCATCCTCATCCTCATCATCATCATCATCATCATCATCCTCATCATCATCATCCTCATCCTCATCATCCTCATCATCATCATCATCATCATCAGATCTCAAGCAGCTGATAAAGAAGGCCGCTCTGTTCTAGGAACTCCTCTAGAACCTCTGAAGATAAAGAAGATGATGGACAGCAGTGAGCATCATCTTCATCAGACAGTTAGACACCAACAGAGGGTCTTCAGTCAGAGGATTTTCCAGTGCTGATTAAACGCAGACCTCTGCAGGAGATCCCTCCTGCCTTTCTGCAAAATGTAATTTCCTTTTGGCATTAATGACGTTTGTCTGAATTTAATTCTTTATTCAGGTTTTACTTTAGCAACATCCTGCAAACAGTGAGGGACTATAGCTGCACCCAAGGAAAGGTTTAATGGATGGAGCAGTGATGGGGGGTGGAGCGGTGATGGAGCAGTGATGGAGCAGTGATGGAGCAGTGATGGAGCAGTGATGGGGGGTGTAGAAGTGATGGAGCAGTGATGGTGGGTGGAGCAGTGATGGAGCAGTGATGGAGCAGTGATGGAGCAGTGATGGAGCAGTGATGGGGGGTGTAGCAGTGATGGAGCAGTGATGGTGGGTGGAGCAGTGATGGAGCAGTGATGGAGCAGTGATGGAGCAGTGATGGTGGGTGGAGCAGTGATGGAGCAGTGATGGAGCAGTGATGGGGGGTGTAGCAGTGATGGAGCAGTGATGGGGGGTGTAGCAGTGATGGAGCAGTGATGGAGCAGTGATGGTGGGTGGAGCAGAACATAGACCAGCTGCCAATAGAGCTCCATCCTTTCTGCTCTAATTCACCTACAGCTGAGCAGCACAGGTCGATACACCCCCCCCTCCCCCCACCTATCCCCGCCTCGCACATAAACACGCGCCGCGGCCGTGAGCTTCACATGCGTCCCTCCTCGCGCCAGCGAGTGGCCGCCTGGCTGCTCGCGCTGCCGCTCGGAGGAAGAGGAGGAGAGGACTGCGCGCGCCGCGGCCGCCTGGAGATGATTTCTTTCTGGCTGCTGTGCTGGAAGCTGCTGGTATGTTGATCCAGAACCCGGGGGTGGGGGTGGGGGGTGGGGTGGGGGGTGGGGGGATGATGATGATGATGATGATGATGATGATCGCTGCTTTTCCCGGTTTCCCGATGCGCCCTTATGTAACAGAGACCGGATCTATGAGCAAACAGCTGACTCCAACAGAGGAGGACATAGAATAGAATAGAGTAGCATAGAATGGAATAGAATATGGAAAAGAATGGAAAAGAGTAGAATAGCGCAGAATAGAATGGAATAGAGTAGAATAGAATAGAACGGAATAGAATAGAGTAGAATAAAATAGAGTAGAATAGAATACAAAAGAATAGAATGGTCAGATGGTTCTACAAGGCGTATCACCATCATTGATGGAATTCCAGCTCTAAAGTCATTTTCTGGAGGCAAAATGCAGATGAAAAAAGTCAGAGTAGTTCTGTGTATGTTTATTGGAGCAGCTCCCAACACCATCAGAATGTAGCAGATAAGCAGCTCTATGTGAAGAGGATCTGGAGGTTAGCGGAGCTAAGCCAGGTGGGGCTACCTGGAAGTGATTGGGGAAAATTAGCTCCTTGAATTGATCATCAGTGTGTGAATGGGTGAATGAATGTAAAGCGCTTTGGTCAAATCTCCTGACTTGAATAAAGGCGCTATATAAGTACAGGACATTTACCATTTACCATGATCCCAAGCTAAGTTCATTCCTTCCACCTGCTTAGCTCCGCCCAGTTTCATCTGCTCTCAACTGCTCCACCTTTTCCAGCTCCTATTTAAAATGCCTGTTTCCAGCCATCAGTGCCAGATTATTCGAGCTGAGTGTGAGAGTTATCTAGCGCAGCGGTCCCCAACCTTTTGTGCATCACAGACCGCTAAATGTCACGGACCGGCCGGGGGGTGGGGGGTGGGGGTCGGGGGGTTGGGATGGGATAAATAAGATCAAGTAAAATGATACGACTGGCATAAAATACAAACAGCATAAAAATAAAAAAACAAGCCGGTCCCATCGTGGCGTGATCGCAGACAATAACAGACAAAGTGTGCTGATGTCCAGTCTGCTCCGTAGCTTTGTTTTGTTACCGCAGAAAATCCCGCTTCGCTAAGATAGGATGTTATAGATAGGATGTTATAGATAGGATGTTATAGATAGGATGAGTCTTGAACTGAATTAACCTGAGTCAAGAGGCACAGATGCACCGACTGATGTAATTGGGAGAGAATACCCCAATTTTTTATATTTTTCAAAATAAAACATCACTCAGACTCTGATCGTCGATAAATTATATATACATTATATATATATATATATATATATATATATATATATATATATATATATATATATATATATATATATATATATATATATATATATATACATTATACTTTTTTCCGTGCGGGCCGGTACCAAATGACCGATGGACTGGTACCGGTCCGCGGCCCGGTGGTTGGGGACCGCTGATCCAGCGTACCCTGTTGTGTTTTGACTTCCTGATCCTGACCTGTTTCTGCCTCTGGATCACTCAGTTTATGTTCCAGTCTGTTCCAGTCTGTTTCTGTCTGTTCCAGTCTGTTCCAGTCTGTTCCAGTCTGTTCCAGCCTGTTCCAGTCTGTTCCAGTCTGTTCCAGTCTGTTCCAGCCTGTTCCAGTCTGTTCCAGCCTGTTCCAGTCTGTTCCAGTCTGTTCCAGTCTGTTCCAGTCTGTTCCAGTCTGTTTCTGTCTGTTCCAGTCTGTTCCAGTCTGTTTCTGTCTGTTCCAGTCTGTTCCAGTCTGTTCCAGTCTGTTTCTGTCTGTTCCAGTCTGTTCCAGTCTGTTCCAGTCTGTTTCTGTCTGTTCCAGTCTGTTCCAGTCTGTTCCAATCTGTTCCAGTCTGTTCCAGCCTGTTCCAGCCTGTTCCAGCCTGTTCCAGTCTGTTCCAGCCTGTTTCAGTCTGTTCCAGTCTGTTCCAGTCTGTCCCAGCCTGTTTGCTGATGAAGGTTCTCAGTCATCCAGGTCATAGTCATCCCGTAAAAATTCAAAAAATATCCACTGGACTTGTTTTTCAAGATTTGAAGACGTTTCTCCACCTCTCCAGGAAGCTTTCTCAATTCAAATGTCTGGATCCGCAGTGAGTTTGAGTCTTATATAGACAACGCCTTGTATCGCTTGGAAACATGCAATGGTAACCGATGAATGGGTCGTTAGTTCCATCGTTAGCCTGTAATATCTGAACCTGTCTATGATTCTAGGGGTCGGTCGTTAAAGGGGGGATTGCCATTAAGGGGGGGATTTGTCTCCTGTAATACCTGAAACCTGTCTATGATTGTTAAGGGTTGGTCGTTAAGGAGGTATTGTTCACCGACTGGGGCGGGTAGGTCCCTCGTTCCTCTGTGATGGGGTGGGGGGTTTGGTGATATCTGGAAGGGATCATGTCTATGATTGAATTGTATGTTTTTGGAAGCTGGAATCTGAGTCCACCACCTCTGTTTAAAGTTGTTTTTTCTCTCTTAACATAGATGCTTCCTTCCTCTCAAACCACCTATTTTCTTTATCCAGAATGTGGACATTCTGGTCCTCAAAAGAATGTCCTTTGTCCATAAGGTGTAGGTGTACTGCGGAGTCTTGTCCAGAGGCGGCCGCTCTTCTGTGTTGGGCCATGCGTCTGTGGAGAGGTTGTTTTGTTTCGCCAATATAAAGATCAGAGCATTCCTCGCTGCACTGAACAGCATATACCACTCCGCTCATATTCGGTCTGGGGGTTTTATCTTTAGGGTGCACTAGCCTCTGTTTAAGGGTTTGGTTTGGCTTGAAATGTACTGGGATCTTGTGTTTGGAGAAAATCCTCTTGAGCTTTTCAGACACTCCAGCAACATAAGGGATTGTGATGTTTTTGCGTTTAATTTTCCCATCGCTGTCTTCTGTTGTGTGTCTTTTGGATTTCCGTGCTGATTTGATAAAAGCCCAGTTTGGATATCCACAGTTTCTGAGAGCATCTTTGATGTGTTTCTGTTCTTTTTGCTTCCCATCTGTTTTAGTAGGGACATGTTCTGCCCGGTGTTGTAAGGTTCTGATGACTGAGAGTTTGTGTTCCAGTGGGTGGTGTGAGTCAAAAAGCAGATACTGGTCTGTGTGAGTAGGTTTCCTATACACTTCAATGTTTAGGCTTCCATCTCCTTCCATGCTCACCAGGCAGTCCAGAAAGGGTAGTTTGTTGTCCTTGGCATCCTCTCTGGTGAATTTGATGTTACGGTCAACAGAGTTGATGTGTTTGGTGAAAGCTTCCACTTCCTCTAGTTGGATTTTGACGAAAGTGTCATCCACGTATCTAAACCAGTGGCTTGGTGGTATTCCATTGAAAGTGTCTAAAGCTCTCTTTTCCATTTCTTCCATGTAAAGATTGGCTAAAATTGGTGATACTGGAGATCCCATTGCGCAGCCATGCTTCTGTCTGTAAAAATTACCTCTGAATTTGAAATAGGTTGTGGAAAGACAAAGGCCCAGTAGTGTGCAGATCTGGTCCGGAGTGAAATTAGTCCTGTTGTTTAAATCACTATCTTGTTCAAGACGTGTCCTGACTGTTTCCACTGCCTCTGTTATAGATATGCATGTGAAAAGTGAAGTAACATCAAACGATACCAGGGTTTCTCCTGGAGCCATCCTTAAATGTTTGGCTTTGTTGGCAAAGTCTTTGGAGTTTTCTATGTGATGTGGTGTGTTCCCCACCAATGGAGCTAAGATATTAGTAAGCTGTTTAGCAATGTTGTATGTTACTGAGTTAATGCTGCTGACGATGGGCCTGAGTGGTGCCCCTTCTTTGTGAATTTTTGGAAGTCCATATAAGCATGGAATTTCCTCCCCTGGATATAATCTGAAATAGGCTGTGCTGTTAATTAGCGTTATTCCGAGGGTGTCTTTCCCAAAATGGAGTGCAATATGCTGATGAAGGTTTTGGGAAAGACACCCTCGGAATAACGCGTGAGTATGAGAAATGGCTTAGGAAACTTGCAGATAATAGGAATCATCTACGTTTCAATTTAAGATGTCGACAGCAAGGTCTCATTCCCAACAGTCTAAGACTGAAGTCTACTATCAAAGGACACAGGGCAGAAGAGATTCTTAGGAATGCGCACAAAAAGCTGCTTAGTGAGAGGATTAAACAGACTCACTTCACAATTGAAGCTATCTCGCACAAAATAGATCAGATAAGGCAGAAGCTATCCAAACTTCTCCCCGAAACCTTGTTTGAAGAAGTTGCTATTTTGGTCAATAAAGCCAAGCTTTCACAACATCATAAAACAAAAGAAAGACAAAAAGCCAAATTCAAAAGATTACAACAGAAAGCAGCATTTAAACAAGAGAGCAACATGACTCAGGAGGATAACATCAAGGTTGAAGACAAGTGGGTTAAAAACCTATCTAGCAGACCACTGACAAAACCAGAGATGGATGTACTGAGTAAAGGCCTGAATTTTGCCATTGCTCCACAAGAAGTACCCATTGTGGAACTGATCACGGCCACTGAATCGGCCATCAGGAACAACAACTTGGCTGAAACGGAGGCAGAGCAACTCAGAATGAAGGTAACAGCCACCCTGTCCAGCGCCAAACCACCTCCTTCCAACCTCACACCCCAGGAAATGAAAGCCATCCCTGAGCCAGGACCAAAGCATCACCATATTACCAGCAGACAAAGGAAGATGCACCGTAGTCCTCAACACCTCAGACTACCAAGACAAAATTATCACTCTACTGAAGGACACTAATACGTATGAATCCTTGAAAAGAGATCCAACCAGCGGCTACAAAAAGAAAATAATAGACTATCTCAAACAACTTGAAAAAGACAAGGTAATTAACAGCACAGCCTATTTCAGATTATATCCAGGGGAGGAAATTCCATGCTTATATGGACTTCCAAAAATTCACAAAGAAGGGGCACCACTCAGGCCCATCGTCCGCAGCATTAACTCAGTAACATACAACATTGCTAAACAGCTTACTAATATCTTAGCTCCATTGGTGGGGAACAC